GATCAAGTCCATGCAGCTGGGCCTCCACACCCAGACAGTGTCCTGCCTTAACAAGTGTGACATCACCCTCAAACGAGACCTCATGGGGTATATCCTACTCTGTGGGGGGAGCACCATGCTCAGCGGTTTCCCTAACCATCTGCAGAAGGAGCTGAGAAGCATGTGTCCTAATGACACCCCCCAGGTAAACGTGTTGCCCGAAAGAGACACTGCAGTGTGGACGGGTGGCTCCCTCCTACCATCGCTTCAGGGCTTCCAACCACTGTGGGTCCACCGCTTTGAGTATGAGGAACATGGGCCTTTCTTCCTCTACAGAAGGTGCTTCTGAACTCCGATGAAGCATGGTTGCTGTGGTGGCCATGCGTCAGCTTTGCTGGGTGAGCACCCATCCCATACATAGGGAGCTGAGCCAGCCAGTTCACTCCTGCAGTATTAAACAATCCTTGCGTTTCCCTCCACAATGTATTTCTCTATTTCCTCATGCAATGAGGACTTCATACATGCAGCATCTGCCTTAAAATGTCCATTTGCCAAAACAACAGCGGGGGCTGGGTGAAGGAGACGGGCAGTGCGGGGGGTGGGGGGGGAGAAGGGGGGAGTGATTATGGACCAAAAAGACGTAGCTTATAGTTTAATTGCTTAAGTATTGGGGGGAGAAACTACCTCTAAAATTATTCTGTCCCTTATTTTGTATATTCCCCACTTTAGGTACTACAGTATTGTTAAACTCTGCTTGGAAGGGGGAGTGTGATAAAGATAGATTAGGTAGATAGAGCAAATGCTGTTGTGGCCTATAAGACGATCCCTTTCAATAAACACCAACAGGAAGTATGCTGTAATGGTTCAGTCGCCCACAAAGCAGCAGAGTGCATTTCACACTTGATCAGTGACTCTGAAGACTTGGAAAGAGCTGATGAAGATGTCTGATGCCTGCTTTAACTGTACTTTCTTTTAGTTCCAGTAGTCATTTATGTCTCGATACCAGTTCTTACCAAGCCATCATGGTGACTGGCTGCTGAAGCCTGGTGTATTATGAGCAAGATATGTGTATCTTAAGGGAAAAACTCTTCAGGGAATAGATGCTGTATAGATTTCCCCCTTTAAAAAATTGGGGGCAGATTTGTCTTGGGTTATCAGCACTAAGGTCATGAGGATGCAACCCACAGCCATTCTCCAGACACTTCAAGCAGCAGATGCTCCTCTCCAACCAGACTGGATTCTCCATCAACCTGCAGGGTATACAACTGGAGTCTGGAATGGGTGCGGGAGAAAGGCTGCCAGTTCTGCAATGTGGGTTTATGGGAGGCTGGTCCATGCTGGTCATTCTAACCCAACTAAGGAACTGAAGGAACATAAAGATCTTCATGGTCCGGGAAGCCTTTCCAGAGCCCAGCATGTTCTGTGGCATTTCCTGCGGGGCAGTTTATAATTGGACCTTCCGTTTTTTAGAGGAGTCCCCAGTACATTCTCTGCCCTGTCTCCAACACTGGCAGGCAGCATAAAATAGTGGAAAGAACATGGGCTTTAGACTCTGTGATTTGAAACTGTTTTGCTACCAACTAGCTGTGTGACCTGAGTCTGCTCACCTGTAAAATTGAATTCAAATGCCTACCTCACACAGCTGATGTAAATATCAGAGGTAAACACCTGAATACCAGTGTGTGGCCTCCAGGAGGTGATCCCAAGGGTTGTTAGCTAGTATTATCTTGTAGAATTCTACCTCTTATAAGGAGTCCAAATGCCTTACTATGATCCTGAGCCACACGTACACCCAAAGACACACACATTCAATCACTCATAGGAGAGCGATGGCATCTCTACCATTCCCAGGGAGAAGCCCTACAGAACCACCCTCATAGCCTCCAGGTTTGCCTAGACAGCCTTGAAAGACCTAAATGCTCCACCCTGGAGGCCTGGTAAGTAAGCACAGCTGGCTGGCACCAGCAAGCTAGAGTAGGGAAGCAAAAATAGCCACAGAAGAGCTTAGTCAGCAAGGACTAAGCCTTACCCTGGAGGATCAGGGAATCAGCTAAGAGTTGGGTACATTGACTTGAGAGAGGTATGCCTTGTTCACCTCAGTTTCTGCCCAAACCACTACTGTCAACACTCTATGAGCATTCACTGATGGGTAGGTTGAAGTTTAGTTAATTCTTAACCTTTGGACCTCTTTGGCAGGGTGGTAAAGCCTATGGACCCCTCAGAATAATAGAATACTATTTTTAACTGTATCAAATAAAATACATAGGATTACAGAAATATTCTATTTTAGATCCCTTAAGGGTCTATGAACCCCCAGTCTATTACCCCGAAAAAGGTGAGGGTCTTGATGAAGGGGAGGCATGAGAGGTGGTTCTGGAGAATGGGAACTCCCAGGCCATCCTAGGACCAAATGCTATACGGCATTTTAAAATGAAAAATACCAATATAAGGGTAAACAACTGTGTAATCTCTTTCAAAGCACATTTATGAATTCTCTCACTTGATCCATATAAATCACCCTTGCAGAAAAAAAGAATCCTCCTCACACATTAAAAAAGATGAATAGTTTTTAGTAAGTATTTGGAAGTCATCTTAGCCCAATGGTTCTCAACTGAGGACAATTTTGAACCCCAAGGGACATTTGACAATGTCTAAAGATATTGGTGGTTATCATAACAGGAGTAGAGGGTACGTAGTACTGGCATCAAATGTGTAGAGGCCAGGGATATTGCTAAACATCCTATAGGCACAGGACAGCAAAGAATGACGTAACCAAAACTATCAACAGTGCCAAGGCTGAGAAACCCAGGTTATCCCAGTGGGCACACAAGGTTGTAGAAAAGCAAGATTCAGTGAGATTAAATGACTTTGTTCAAGGACACTAAGATGAGTGGACCCATGACTTTGTTCTTTCCGTATACCAAGAGGACATCTGTTGGTCTTGAAGTTCCTGGGACTTCAAAGCTAGTAAGAATAATGGTGGAACAGCCCACTGTAGGCATGAAGCATAGGCAAGGGCTTAGGGAGCACAGAGAAAATAGGAATCAAGAGCAGGCCTTCAGGGTTGCCAAACATCACCAATATAAACTTTGGCTTGTCTACAGATCTCGGATATTTATGGTTACCGAGCTTCTAAGATGTTCATCCTCAACTCAGTTACTACTAAATATGACAGAAAAGGAAGGACAGCCAAAGACTCCCAAGGACTTGTCCAGGTGGTGCTTCTAGTGAAGCAAAGAAGGTTATGGGCCAGCACAGGAGGAGGAAAAAAAGCTAATTTTGCTTCCCAAACTTGTAGTCACCTTAAATTACTAAGAGTCGTCAGTTTTGTTTATTTTTAAAAACATCCTCTCAATTATGGCTATGAAAAATCCCTCAGATGTGTGCACATGTATGTATATACACACATAAATATGTGTGTATATATGTAGATATATGTGAAAAATAAATTTATTTTAAAATATGCAGCAGTGCTAAGAAATAACACCAAGCTGTACTCATAAAGTCATAATAAAAACATTAGCTTCTGCCTCAGTTTTTCAAAAAGTCTAAATATAAAATACACTTTGATTACAGGAGACAATCCTCTGCAAGTTTCCTCTTGATGTCTGGAGCATCTGAACAAAGCTGATTCCATGGAACAAACTAAATAACTGAGGCTTTTAGCTTCCTGCAACATGAATTTGGGAAGAGCCAAAATTTGGGGGAAGAATTATATACTCCTCTTTAGAACTTGATAGACTCTTTCCCCAAAATTAAGCATTCATCACTCCCAGGAGTTTCTCCTTTGCCTATACACAGCATTTCCCCCCATAAATTCACCCTTGACTTTGCCTTCTGCCTTCAATTTGGATGGTCTGCTCCCACCTGCTCCTTCTCCAAATGAATAAAATTCCATCTCGCTCAGAGGAGAGAGTAATTGATAGTCATTTGTATTCACACAAATTCTTTCTTGCTGTTTCCATACAGTATTTCAAGGAAAGTGAACATCCACGCAAAGTCACACCATTATAAACAGGCACATTTACTTCTATTTCCAACCCATCAGCATGGGTCCCTTTACTATTATCCATAGCAAGAGTACTATAATATATTAAAATGTCATATAAGTTACCATGTTCATTAATCCACACTACAGAGTAGTCAAAAAGCACTTGCAACCTTTCAATGTTGGGCACTTAATTATAGATCTTCTTTTTCTATTATTTTGTGAAAATTTTCAGACACACAGAAAAGTTGAATTATACAGTGAACACACCTAGATTCTATAGTTTACATTTTGCTATATTAGGGAAAGGCTTCTTTAGTTACACAATTCTGGGTATACCTATACTCTGACTTCCTGTTAGTCTACATAGAGTAATAAAGGTCTGGTTCTGGTATTAAAAGCATGAAAGAGATTGTTAACCTTACCCAAGAGTCAGCCACAAAACTGTTGTCAAAACAAACTGAGCTTTTTCTGGACTCACCAAAAAGAGATAAATTCTCATTTGCTTCAAAGAAAATAACTAAAAGACATAGGTCAGTTAAGCACCATAAAGAAAAATAAATGAAATGGCCTAGATACTGACAAAAACACTATGTTAAAAGAAGCAACATTTGGAGAAAAAGGAGTAACTTACTACTGTTCATGCCTATGATGCACACTGCTCACCATCCCAAATGTACGCAATACTGTTTCAGAAATTCTAATCTGTTCCAGCTCTAACACTGCTAACTCTAGCAGAACATTCACAGGCAATGAAAATAGTCCGTATGGACCCTGTAGTGATAGGAGGCTCAAACCAGTTATAACTGGAAGCACATGACCTGGCAAGATACTACAAAATAACCGCTGTCAGCATAGGAAGGCTTAGAATATCAAAGGATAGATTTCGCTTTTCATTCTGCTTTAGTTCAAGGTGAAATCATTTAAATGATGAAATTTGACCAAATGTTAGGAGCACTAATAGCCATGTTGTTTATATATAATGCTTTCCTCAAGGAACATAAAACAGTTTAAAAACATTACTTTACTTTTCTTCACACTTTTGAGGTAGCAGCCACGAAACATTCCCAATTAACTGAGGCACAAATCAATTCTGTGATTTGTCTACAGTTCCAGTATGATTCCAACCTGTAGCTGGGAATGAAACCCAATGTCCTGATTACCATAAATACCAGAAATATGCTCTCAATAAGCACTAAGTAAAAGAACAGTAATTTTTACAAAATGGTGCTATATGGGTTAAAGCTTAAAGTCTTGCTTAATGATTAAAATTATATGCAAAATAAAATAGAATTGGTGTCTGCTGAGGTCTGCTGTACAGAGCAGCTCTCCGTAATGCTAAGGTAGATGGTCTTACTCTTCCCACTTCCCAACAGCCAGGCCTCGAGGAGTGAGGAGTGGAAGGAAAACAGCCTTCTCTGCCAGAGCCCTCCTAACTGGGGTCAGAGTCACTCTAGAAGGCTCAGTTTCCACTGGGTTCTTTTGTTGATCTTTGGTGGTATAAAAAGCTCAGCATCTGAAAGGAAAGAGAAAATGTGACAGACACACTCCTTCATGTTGGTGGGAGCTGAGGCAGTAACTCTAAGCTAAAGCTAGGCGACTGGGCTTTGCACCTACAAGACGACCATCAGAACCAGAGTTAATGTTTCTGTCACCCTAACAACCTCCTGGTCAGAGCAAACACAGCCTGGAGGCCCTGCCCCGAGAAGAGGAATCCCACTTCAACTTTAGGCATGTGGGAGGGTTGAAGAAAAAAATGCCCACTGAGTGATTCAAAGTGGAAGAATGTTCTGTATTTCAAATGGGAGGGGGTGGTGGTTGTGGTGCTTACGAGGCCGTATACATGTATTAAATTTCACCAAACTATACACCAAAGAGCTGTACATTTCACTGTATGTAAAATTTACCTCAATTATAAGAGTGGCGTGTATTCAGTAAGTAAAGTTAATGGACAGAAAACACTTATAATAAAAATTTCTACAAACACACTGATCAATAAAAATGTCCTTACTTAAAAAATAAATAAATAACTGGAAGAGGAGGGCGATGGTTGGGGGAAATTTGTCACTGTTAGATAACACTCCCAGGCCCTCTTTCAGTTAGATTTATGGAGTCTCTTACTTAAGTAGAAATCATACACAGGAAGTAGAGACATGAGAAAATATGTATATAGAGAGACATTCTTTCTCAGTATTATTCATGGTACACCTATACATATGATCCATACAGACATGAAAAATTCTTTTACGAGAATATTTTAAAATGTGAGAAAAATGCTCCAGATAAAATGTTTTAAAAACATGATTTTCATTATACATATACACATGCATGTACACACGTATGACTACAAATTATCAAGTCTTAATTTTCTTTGACATACTTTTCTGTACAATCCAGATTTTCTCTACTAATCATAACAGTATTATAATTTCACATACAATTACTACTCCCTACACTCCCAAACAAAAATCTATTGTATATAGACAAAAAGACTACAAGAGGTTTTGCTTATTTAACAATATTGGAAAAGGCTACTTAAATTCATGGTTAACAAGCCCCATAACTTCATGTTAAATAGTAACTAAACTTTCAATGACACCTTATCTGCTTTTTAAAAAAGAAACAAGTTTTGAAAATAGTGTATCTTATTTTTAAAAATTAGGCATAAGTACAATTATATTTGATTCTTAGACTTAACTATGTATAAATACCAAGTACTGACTTATTGGCAGGAAAGAAATTATTCTGACAAACTGTATGACAGCAGGACATGACATCTTTCACATTTCCATATTTGAATTTCACAGCACAGAGGGAGTCGTTTCACAAAAATATTTTGAGGGTTTTATCAGTTTTTCCAAAGACTTCTCTTAATCCTTTGATAGTCAAATCATACTCATTTGAAGTAATTTTGTTATCAGTTATAACAAGTCTAATTCGGCCATGATTTAAGCGCTACTCTGGTAAAACGTTAATCCATTTTATGAAATGGATTACATTTTTGCAAGACTTGCAATCAACCTGCATGGTACTACGTTGCATCTTAACGTGAAGCAATCAGAAAATGCCCCATCAAGTCACTGATCCCCCTACTACTGTTATCTGGGAAGGGGCAGGTGAGGAATATTTGAGAGGAACTAATTTTGTGAGTAGCTCATCTGCCTCTTTTAGGATTATGAGAACTTCTCCTTTCCTACACAATCTACACTAGAGTTCCTACACAGGGACACTGATAATACATACTCTGATAATGAGAAGGCTCAAAATTTTAAAGTCTTTAAGGCTCAGCTGGGAAATGGAAGTGCTCTTTGATAAAGCCAACTAGACCACCCTAGAGAAAGCTGTGACTGAACTTGACCTGAAGGTCAACATCAAGCCAGCAGTAAGGAAAACAGGGGACAGAAATCACAACTGGATTAGACACATTACAAACTAAACAATTACCAAACTGCCTCTGGTCTGAGATGAATTGTTAGCATCTCAGAAATAAGTGTACGTTTTGGGGCTGATACCAAAGGCAGCTTGCCAGCCTCCAGGAAGAAGGGGATCTAGGGATACAGCAGTTAACTGTCTGGCTATTTGAGCTTAGCTGGAACGGAAGGTGGTTCATTTATTCCTGGTAGCAACATAAGCCATGAAAGTTAAACTTGACATGGCTCCCACAAAGTCTACTTCAAATGCCGTCAAAATGCTACCAGAGTGGGCTTCCCTGGTGGCGCAGTGATTGAGAGTCCGCCTGCCGATGCAGGGGACACGGGTTCGTGTCCCGGTCTGGGAAGATCCCACATGCCGCGGAGCGACTGGGCCGGTGGGCCCGTGGGCCACGGCCGCTGAGCCTGCGCGTCCGGAGCCTGTGCTCCGCAACGCGAGAGGCCACAATAGCGGGAGGCCACAACAGGGAGAGGCCCCCCGAACCGAAAAAAAAAAAAAAAAAAAAAAATGCTACCAGAGTATAGCATTTAAATGAAAAAATTTCAGAACGTTGCCTCTCACATGCCAGGAATGCAAATAGCAGCCGTAAAAATTGCCACCTTTTCAAAGCTAAAAAGAAGTTGCTATGCTTGATTGAGCCACATGAAGGGTGAATACTGTGGCACCAAACTGATCTGTCAAAAGTTTTTTAGGGAATTCCCTGGCAGTTCAGTGGTTAGGACTCAGCACTTTCACTGCCAGGGCCCAGGTTCTTGGTCAGGGAACTAAGATCCCCTGCGGCCAAAAAAAAAAAAAAAAAAAAAGGAGTTTTTAACCGACTTTCAAAAGAAAGCCTTTAGGGCTTTTAACTTTGTTGAGGAATGTGTAACCTAATTGAAGAGAATCCTCTCCCCCCAACAAATAAACAAAACATCCAAATAAACAAAACATTTTCGGTATAATTCAATAGGAAATGCAGGTGAAATGCTAATCTTCTTTGAATTTGTTTTCAAATTATACTGTCAATCCTAAGGATGACTAAAGAGTTCCAGCTCTTAAGCAAGGAATATGAAAATGTCCCCAAGACACAATGCAAAACTGCCAATAGCCAAAAATGATTCAGATGAATCCTTAAAATGTACATGCAAATTAGACTGTTTAGACTCAAACTTCAACTGTAATGTGCCTGTGTGGATGAGTGTATGCCACTGCACTGACAAGTGTGTATGTCAGAACAATTTTTAAAAATTATACCTTTAATGTCATGTTGGATTTCCCAGCCCTCCACCCAGGATCCCAACACTAAAGGCATTAAACTGATTTTAATAAAGATATAGTCTTAGAACTGAGGGAAAATTGTAGCGACTCCGCATTCTCTCCTAATACTACTAACCTTCTCAATACTTACAAAAAGATATTCCTTCTACTTACTAATGTAATAATTTAGAGTGAAAAAAAATACTAACCAAGAACAGGAACTGAAGTCTTCTCTTGATGATAAGAGACCATGATACCATTTGCAGTAGAACTGGGACCTAGAACCCAAGAATTGGGTTGGCCAAAAAGTGCCTTCGGTTTTTAAGTAAAAATAAAAGACTCATTTTCACCAAGAACTTTATTGAGCAACATATTCACTCTTTTGTTCTACTACCTTCTGTCATTTTTCAGGCAACTTCATAATTCCATCTTCCCAAAAGGTTTTATCTTTTTGAGAAAAGAACTGTTCCAGGTGCCTTCTGCAGTCTTCCAGGGAATTGAATTTTTTTCTATTAAGAGAATTTTGTAAAGGCCTAAATAAATGGAAATCTGAAGGTGCAATATCTGGTGAATACAGCGGATGAATCAGAACTTCCCAGTCAAGCTTTTTTGCCTGGTTATCAAAGAAACATGCAGTTTTGCGTTATCCTGATGGAAGATTATGCACTGACTAATTCTGGACGCTTTTCGTCGAGTGCTGCTTTCAGTTGGTCTAACTGGGAGCAGTACTTGCTGGAATTAATCGTTTGGTTTTCTGGAAGGAGCTCATAATAGAGGACTCCCTTCCAATCCCACCATATACACATCACCTTCTTTGGATGAAGACTGGCCTTTGGTGTGGTTGGTGGTGGTTCATTTCGCTTGCTCCATGATCTCTTCCGTTCCACATTATTGTACAGTATCCACTTTTCATCGCCCATCACAATTTGTTTTAAAAACGGAACATTTTCACTATGTTTAAGTAGAGAATCACATGCAGAAATACGGTCAAGAAGGTTTTTTTTTTGCTTAACTTATGTGGAACCCAAACATCAAAGCGATTAACATAACCAAGCTGGTGCAAATGATTTTCAACGCTTGATTTGGATATTTTGAGTGTGTCAGCTATCTCCTGCGTGGTATAATGTTGATTGTTCTCAATTAATGTCTCGATTTGGTTGCTATCAACTTCAACTGGTCTACCTGACTGTGGAGCATCGTCCAGCGAGAAATCTCTAGCACGAGATTTGCGAAGGCAAACCACTTTTGACATGCTTGATCCATCACAGCACCTTCTCCATACACTGCACAAATCTTTTTTTTTTTTTTGCATTTCAGTCGCGTTTTTACCTTTCTTGAAATAATAAAGCATAATATGCCAAAAATGTTGCTTTTTTTAAAATTCCATCTTCAATGTTAAAATGGCTACACAAAAATTCACCAATTTAATGTCTTTTTTAAATGCACGCTTATACGACAGCTGTCACATACTATTTAACAAAGTTGTTTTGAGTGAAGTTAAAGACAACTAGGTGCTACTAGAGCCATCTTACGAAAAAAAAAAAAAAAAACGAACGAACCTTTTGACTAACCCAGTAGAAAGTAGACTGAATCAGCAAAGATTATTTTATACTTCTGATGACTGCAAATACCCAAATCTCTGCCAGCAATAAATAGCCTTTCATTTTCATTGTGGTGTCAAACACTTATGTGATTTTAATTTGCCAGTTTCTCCAGTCTCAATTCAGACCACTACATCTCCTGTCCACCAGAAGAACAAGGTAATGATGGGGGAAAAACAGAAAAAGAAAATCTCAGTGATATATGCCTGGTCCTTTCCAAATGAGCGAGCCATACCCTGGAAGGAGGGGATATAATAAGAGGTTATAGAATACACAGAGCACCAGATCGTACTCAAAGATTTGTGAGAATTTTTACATTAAAACAATTCTGTGCATATCATGGAGGAGAAAGCAAACTCTGCACACGTGTTTAAGGTAAAACAAGAGACTTTGCAAGGGGCTTCCCTCGTGGCTCAGTGGTTAAGAATCCGTCTGCCAATGCAGGGGACACAGGTTCGGGCCCTGGTCCGGGAAGATCCCACATGCCGTGGAGCAACTAAGCCCATGCGCCACAACTACTGAGCCTGTGCTCTAGAGCCCGCAGGCCACAACTACTGAGCCTGTGTGCCACAACTGCTGAGGCCCATGTACCTGGAGCCCATGCTCTGCAACGGGAGAAGACACAGCAATGAGAAGCCCACGCACTACAATGAGGAGTGGGCCCCACTCGCCGCAACTAAAGAAAAGCCCACATGCACCAACGAAGACCCAATGCAGCCAAAAATAAAAATAAACGAATGAATAAATAAATAAATAAATAAGAGACTTTGCAGGAATTCCACACCTGCACGAGCCTCAGCAGGCACACTGTAGGCCCTCCGCCTCGCCTTCACTCAGGTCTGCGTGTTCCCTCCTGGCGCACTCTCAGCAGTGATGTCACGTGCTCAAAACACTGCCATGTGACTCATGGTATCCTGCACAGATGACATTACCATGCTTTACCAACCAAAGCAAAAACACAATTTTCCTGGTCATTTCTCCTAGAAGACTCATAAGTTGTTATCTTAGATGTTAACATGATCTGAATAGATGAGGATAAGGGAGGGCATGGGGAAGCACTATAAATTTTTAGCTTCAAAACCACTAGTTCTGAAAGTGATCACATTTCTTCTAAGAAGTACCTATTACAGTAAATTCAAGTATTTATGGGAGGCTAATTCTCAGTTGTTTTTATTTCTATGGCTTGTAAAATTCTTTTATACCTACCCTCTCATCTAACCTTCAAAACATTCCAGTGAAGTATACAGGGGAGTATTATCCCCATTTATAACTGAGGAAATCAAGACCCAGTAAGCTGATGAGCTGATTTCCAGCTTCTCTCTCAGCTCCAAACCCACCCTTCCTATACACTGCTCATGATTCTGGGACTGGGGGCCTGAGAAAACACCCCTCCTTTGACAGCTGTTATGCTCCAACAGTAGCAGACACCAGAGGGACAGGGCAAGGCTGGATAGAGGAAGGGGAAGGAATTTGTTCCCTTGTTTGCTTGCTTTCACTCAACAGTAGCTCTGTACCCCGCAGCAGCTGTTCGTTCAAGTTTCTGTTTATTTCTATACAGTTAGAACCAGTCTCATCCTGCCCTCTCGGAAATACCAGCTCCAGCAGGCTGCCACCACCTTCTCAGAGGTTCAAGAACCAGTTCTGCAGGGGCCTCACCGCCAAGCGTCTAAATTCTAAGAATCCCAAACTCTTCCTTTTGTTCCTTCAGCCTTAGGGGTATAAGCGGCTTCCCACAGTTTCAATCTCAACGTTCCTTCTCTGTATTCCCTTTCTGCCTTCTCAGGCCTCTAGTACTTGGTTAACCAGTTCCATATGTTAAACTCTCTCTGATAAAATAATAGCTGTGGTTTTTGTTTTCCTTAATGGACTTTGACTGATAAATCAGGCTTTCTGAATCAAAATCAAAACTCTGAAAAATACTCCTAAGGTGTAAGAGACTGAGCAGATATACACAAAAATAGATGACAGTACATTAGAATTCTTGATGGGAATGGCTAATGGAATAATGGTAATAGATAACACCTTGTGCCAATTTGGTAAGTCTTGGTAATATGATTGGGGTAAAATCTCAAGCTGGCTTTGCTTTCTACCCACCCTGTCAGTATACCTGTTTTTTCCCAAACAATTTTTCTGTTTTCTCTTAAGACGATGGTTTCCCAGCCTCATCTAATTGCTTCTTTCTGAGACTCATTTGTTAGTTTTCACTGGATCCAGTTTTGTAGTTTTCCTGGGCAATTCTATAGCTTTTCTTCAGGCTAGTGTTTAAGGTTGTCTTAACAATTTATATAATTTCTTTATCATTTATATGCAGTTACTCATATTTCTTTATAATTTATATATTTTAGATTTTTTAGTGCATTATAGCTTTAAAATATTTCACACTTACCAGTGCCTTAGAGTTTTTAAAGTGGTTTCTGCTTCATATTTCATTTGAAGTTTATCTGAGAATAAGAATATTTTGTTCACGTCTCATAGCTATTAAGGGGCAGAACTTAATTCTTCTTAGTAGTTGTCAATGTGATATTCCCTAATCTTCTGATGAGAGTGGTAGCACAAATATTATTACGATTATTTTATAGACTCAGAATTGAAACTTAACTGACATGCCTCCTCAAAAACAACTGAATTCCTGCCAGAGTTGAAATTAGAATAAAAAGTGAGAATTTACTGATTTTTGGTCAGATCTTTTTTCCATTGTGGAACAAAGCTCTTTCAGTTAAGACATATTATCAGACCTTATATCTTTAATTTATGAAGCAAAATAAAAAAGTTTAAAAAGGAAAAATAAAACAACTATAACTTGTCACTTTTAAGTTTCTTACATTATAAAATGAACATATATAATGTTTACCTGAAATTTTTTGAAGTGCCTTAAGAAGTAATAGTTAAATATTAAAGTTGTTTCATCATCAAAAAATCTAGAAACAATAAATGCTGGAGAGGGTGTGGAGAAAAGGGAACACTCTTGCACTGCTGGTGGGAATGTAAATTGATACAGCCACTATGGAGAACAGTATGGAGGTTCCTTAAAAAACTACAAATAGAACTACCATACGACCCAGCAATCCCACTACTGAGCATATACCCTGAGAAAACCAAAATTAAAAAAGCGTCATGTACCAAAATGTTCATTGCAGCTCTATTTACAATAGCCAGCAGATGGAAGCAACCTAAGTGTCCATCATCAGATGAATGGATAAAGAAGATGTGGCACATATATACAATGGAATATTACTCAGCCATAAAAAGAAACAAAATTGAGTTATTTGTAGTGAGGTGGATGGACCTAGAGTCTGTCATACAGAATGAAGTATGGCAAAAAGAGAAACACAAATACCGTATGCTAACACATATATATGGAATCTAAGAAAATGAAAAAAAAGGTCATGAAGAACCTAGGGGTAAGATGGGAATAAAGACACAGATCTACTAGAGAATGGACTTGAGGATATGGGGAGGGAGAAGGGTAAGCTGTGAAAAAGTGAGAGAGTGGCATGGACATATATACACTACCAAACGTAAAATAGATAGCTAGTGGGAAGCAGCCGCATAGCACAGGGAGATCAGCTCAGTGCTTTGTGACCACCTAGAGGGGTGGGATAGGGAGGGTGGGAGGGAGGGAGATGCAAGAGGGAAGAGATATGGGAACATATGTATATGTATAACTGATTCACTTTGTTATAAAGCAGAAACTAACACACCATTGT